GTTCTAAGATAGATCCTTAGGCTAAGTTTCATGTGCGCGCTATCCGTACAAAGGTAAACTATCTAACTTAGAGCGAATATATACATTTCGTATTCTTCCTTATCCCTGTCGTTTATTAAATAGAACATAAGTGTTCTCGCGATAGTCGCGATCGTTCTTAAGCACCGACTAGCCTGCGCGACGTACTCTCGTATACTTGATAACTCCATGTTTCATAAGTCATCCAAACGACTCGTTCCGACACTCACCCTCGCCACTGCCACCCTTGTCATGCATCGGTTCTAGGGTGGTCGGCGGGCTGGCACTCATCTGGAATCAATACGAGGGTCTGTCGGCCTTAGTCGTCCTGGGCACCAGCGCGTGCACGACCGGGGTATGGGCCCTGTAGCCGTGACACTGCATATAGGCCTGCGGTCAGACCCCATGGGATGATTAATTTCTCCCCCATGTGGCAGGGGCCTGCGTGACCGGCTACAGGGCCTCGCTAGGGACCCTCGGGTTGATTTTGGATGTTTCGCTGGTTCGTCGATCGCTCTCGTTCGCGAGTAAGACATGGCAGGGTCTGTGGTGGCTGGGTGGGCTAGGTTCGATCGGGAGGGTGCCGAGGCATGAAGTTGTCTTGTACACGAGAGTACGTCTCGTACGCTAGTCGGTCTTTCGAATAATCGCGATCTCGATCGGGCGCGTCGCGATTTTAATTTAGTTTTTCTTTGCTCGCGTCTGTTGAAATGAAATACCTTGGTGTTGCGTAAATAAAGTATTAGAGTTTAGTATACCGAATCGAAATCCCTTTTGTAAGATACGATATTTAATAAAGTGTCAGTAGAGTAGCTTTAACTTAATTCGCTGCAAGTTAGATTAGGGTATCTTTGATACGGATAGCGCCAGCAGGCTGCGCCACTAGGGCGCATGTCGGGTCTCGATGCGTAGCCACCTCCACGTGGTGAGACCTGGTAATTGGTAGAATTGTCACAGATTACTCTTTGAAATTCGCACCAAGCTAAGAGTTACGCACACCTAAGCTTAAGCACTACATAATAGTTATAAGTTAGTCATAATTTAGTTACAAATTAGCTATACGTTAGTCATAAATTAGACATAAATTATTTATAAATTAATTGTAGAATACATATAAGTCAGTAATAAGTCAATGATAAGCTTAAGATATTTTCTATCTCTTGTAAATTTTCAGTGGTCCTATTGGACTTTGAAAATAAAGAGTATACAATGAAATAGTATTGGATAACTGTGAATTGGATAATTTTAGGTAAGTAAGATAAGTAAAATAACTGTTAAAGTTCTGTGCCTAAATTTCGTGGAAAATAACGCCATTCCTTTGAATTCCGATGGCGAACCACATTTTAGGACGTTACGTTATTCTGCTACAAAATCGCAAAATTAACAGAAAGTTTTACGTTCGGGATGCAAAAGTATTGTTCATGAAAATCTTAGAAATGACCGCATTCATAGGAACTGTTTCAATGATAGACCACTTCTTGGATCATATTCTCCTGGTACAAAATCGCGAAATCGGCCAGAAACATTTCCTCGAGGCTGCAAAAATATTGTCCGAGAATTCTTGGAAATGACGACATTTCTTAGAAGTGGCACGACGAGCGACCTCCTTGCATGTTATGTTATCCTGGTATAAATCGGCGAAAACGGACAAACATTTTTCTTCGAGACCACAGTAGTGTTGTCCACCCAGGAGGCAAAAATACTGCCCAGAAGCGGGAAAAATACTGACCAAGAAACGGCAAAAGTATTGTCGATGTAGGCTGCAAAAGTATAGTCCGAGAATTCATCGAACTACCTAGCCAAGTGACTTCCTATCATATTATGTTCTCCTGATACAAAATCTCCGAGACAGCGAAAGTATTGTCCGTGGATATCGACATACACAGCCCTATAAATTGTCCCATTGAAACGCTGTAAAAGTCGAACCACGTGACCAACACTCACGCAATTTTCACACATGATACCTATGCACCTGAGTATCAGCTTGATTCATCCCGCAATCGATTCCGCCGTCATCGAAAAATGTCGACTATTGCCATTCGCTCTCATACCGAAAATTACGGCCAAAAATCATTAAAAAATCTAGCAAGTTCGAAAGCTCGCGAAAGCAACATGTATTTGTAGGGGACACAGGAAGCTCTCACACACCCAAAGCTCGCACTACTAGCTTCACTAGGAAGCTTGCAGCACGTTCAAAAGTAGCTTGCGAATGTCGACACATTCAGGGCTATATAGTCGGTCTTTGAAACGTTGTAAAATTCGAACCACGTGACCTACGCCCACGCAATTTTCACACGTGATACGTATCTACCTAAGGATTAGTTTGATTCATCCCCCAATCGATTCGGCCGTCATCGAAAACTATTAACTTTCACAACTCGCTCTTAGACCTCAATTTGTGGAGTAAAAATCAGTAAAAAAATCACGGAAGCTCGAAAGTTCGCGAAAGCTACATGTAGTCGTGGGGCACACTGTAAACTCTCATCTACCCAAAGCTCGCACTCCTAGCTTCACTAGGAAGCTCGCAGCAGGATTAAAAGTAGCTAGCAAATGCCGACATATTCAATCCCATATATTCAGTCTTTGAAACGCTGTAAGAACGAAAAATCATTATCTTCTCCTATATTCGATAAATTCAACCTCAATATGTAAAACGAGTAATAAATAAATAAATAAGTGAATTTAAATAGATTTCAATTAGAACACATTCAACAGTGGTGTTTAATTCCAGGAACATAAAAATATCCACAGATCTGAGTACACAGGTGCGAGGAATGTGAAAGTACAGTCGTATGTGTGAAGAAAACAAACATTTTGTGCGGAAAGGAAAAGAAGAGTACGAAACCAGTCCATTTCATAGCTACGAACTCGAAATAGAAATCATTACAGATAAAGATTATTATCTATTACCAATTAGAATCGCACGATGAAAATTGATACGTATAATTACACTTCTATCGCGATAAAAGCAGCTATACATCATTGGCAAATAAAAGGATCAAAAAGTCCAAAGCCGATTATTTTTCTGACCCGGTAATTACGCTGTTAATGAATTCGTCGTCGAAGGATTACAAGCTAGCAATTCCTTCATTTCCTTCATTCCAACTCTGAACCATCTGCAACACGAACATCAGTCACCGCAGCCAAATACATTCCTGACACCGAGTGTAAAATCTCGGCTGAAGTCTCCTCATCAATCTTAGAACTCACGGTAAGGTTGCATTTTTCCCCTCAGAGAGCTCGATATTCTCTCTCAATTAAAAACAGCTTCGACTTCGGACACGTTACCAAATCATAAATTACGATCTTCGAAGATAAAACGATTATTACACAAGAGGGAACGAGTTCCGTTGCAACGCTTCTTTTCAAAACTCGCGGGCTCTTATTTTGAAACTTGATTTTAATCGGTCGTATCCTGGATTCGAGAAATAAAAAGGGAAAAACGGAGAAATCACGCGGCGAATTTATTTATCCATTAGTCCTTCCTCCAACATTCGCACAGGTACGCAATTTAGGTTCGTTATTAAGCCATTTTTCACCTGTCCAATTTAGTTGCAGTTAGCTTCCTCGCAGAATTCGCGAAAATGGCTGTTAGAGTAGTAAAAATGGAATGGATTAGAGACGGGGAAAAAATTGATAGAAAGTTGTTAGAGTCAGTTCTGGCGGGAAAATGGTGCTTATATTCCGGAAGAAATTAGCGTTTAGCTGTGAAATTATAGGACTGGCGTTTCGCATGAAATCTGCGATGAGTTTTATGTAGGTCTAGAGCAACGAGCTCGGGCAATAATTTATCTTTCTGTCACGTGTTTTTAATGCGACTCTTTTGCGCACGATAAATCAAAAGAAAATTGGCAATTCTGTAAATACGTGTTGGTAATCTACGTCTCTTTACTCGATGCAAAAAGATTATTATACCTCGCGATTTTACGGTTTTACGATTTTATTAAAAAAAGAAAACGCCTGTGCGAAATAATAATTTTTATATAAAATATTACATTCAAAATTAACGTTATTCTCGATATACCAAATAATTTACTTCGCTATAATATACCTATTTCGTCGAGTTTGACTCGACATCAATTTTATACACGATATTTTTTGATTGTTTGTTTACTAAACAAGAAAACAGAAAATGTGGAATAAAAATAATACGGATTGCACTAAATAAAATACTAAATCTACCAGGATCGGCCAAATGACCAGTGGATGATAAAATAAAAGAATATTCTTAGAAAAATAGAGAAATGAAGAAGAAATTGCGAAAATAAGTTATCGAAGCGACGACACGTTGAATAAGAAATTTTTAATGCATATTCAAAAAATGCTCACTTATGCTAAGCCCATTATGATCTGTCAAATGATGGCTGAGTGAAAGACTAAATGAAGATTGAAAATGGAAGAGAGGAATATATTAATCATGCGCATATTGCAAGAATAATCGCGGAAACGAGTGCGAATCTTCATCCCCTTGCACTCGAAAATTGTTTCGCTATAAAGATATAACAATCCGAAGCTTTTCCTACATCCTCCTAAGCTAGGTGATATCATTCGTGCCAAAATAAAAATAGAAAATTAAAATCTAAAAATCTATTTAAAAATAGAATAATAGAATATTTCGTGCATAGTTACTTTTAATCTAAGGAATTAAAACAAACGGCGACTGAGTCACTTGCCGAGTGTAGTGAATGAATAAAAATTAAAAGAAAATTATGAATTAAATCGTGGTAAGTTTGATCACGGATTGATCCAAGAACTGACGAGACACGTGCAAGGCACGACGCGACTCTACGAGGAGCATACGAGACGCAGGATGACGCGAGAATTGGCGAAAAAGCGTGTACGTAAGCCGTTTAAAGGAAAGCCAGATAGCAAGGATGTACCCGGATGATTGGACGATAAAGCAGCAAGCAGTGGACACGCGGCTAGCAGCGGATACAAGGATCGGCTAAAGTGATGGGGAAATTCGAAAATAGCCAACATACCCGTCGCCGTCGAGAGTAATGGCAGTGTCGGCCAGAACCCGGAGTACAAGACCAACGGTCGCCCTAGCGTGACAATCGATACCAAGAAGGCAGCTCTCCTCGGCATCCTGCCTTCCAGTGCAGGATACTACGACCAGGTATCTCGTCCTTCCTGGATGCACTGACTCCAGTTTCACCGCCTGAAATCAGAACGGACGGTTTTTCGTTACGGACAGCCGATTAGATTTCTGCTTCGGGTGACGACACACCGCTGAAAAGAATTCCAACAAATCCGATCTTCAGCTGTTCACTCTGAAAATACGAATCTTGGAAAGCTTTGCTCTGTTTTCGACAGCTTCGGTCGAATCATTTTTCACAGCCAGCAATTTCGATACCTCGTAATTTCTATTTTATTCAGCACCGAGATGTGAAAATCTTCTTAATTAATAACAGTTCTTTCGGAGACTCGCTACCACATTGATCATTCGTCAAGGGAGTAAAACGGTGAAAAAGAAAATCCGCGATGTTTCACGCGATAAAATGAAATGCAGAAGAAATTCACAAAACGAAAGAAATAAACGAAATCTCAGAAACCAAAACAAGCAAACGTTTTCACGAAACAAGAAAGACACAAAAATTACACAAATTGAAATGAATTCTAACGAAACTTTACAGGAGCATACAGAAATTGAAACGAATTCTCGTAATAAAATAAAGAGAAAAGGTGCACAAATTGGAAGGAATTCTGGCAAAATAAACGAAACAAAGGAAACATTGCAGAAGCACACACAAAGTGAAACGAATTCTCGAAAAATAAAATAAAGAAAACGGATTACACAAATCGGAACGAATTCTCGCGAAATAAAACAAAGGAAAGAAACTTGGCGAGCTAAAATAAATTCTGTGAAAAAAGAAGGAAAGAAAAATAACAGTGACAGGAGAAATAAAAGATGTCACGAAACGAGAGAGGTGAAAAATAATTCGCGGAGGTGAGAAAGAACGGAGAAAAGAAAGATTGCAGGAGCAGTGAGAGCAAGTGGAGGATCCGTGGACTGGACACGAGCTGCCGATGCGACGATCTTCTCTGCTTGGACAGAAGCCGAGCGTGACCGCGGTATAATCGGAAATCGGCGGGATGCATGCCCGTGGCGACGCAACATGCAACATTTAGGCCGAACGAGGGGTAAAAAGGAAAGAGAGAGAGAAAGTGGTCGTAAAGACGTCGCGGGATTCTGATCGGGCCCGTACACTTGACCGGAGATCGCAATCGCGAAGTCGTCTCGCGACGCGAAGCAGAAGTTGCTTCGGGGTTAATGACACCGCGGAGAAGTGCAGTTGCACAACCGTAACGTTCTCTGCCGTTTCCGCTTCGCCACTTGTTTCCTGCTTCTATCGATATCGGTATTAAACCCGGACATCCATCGCCACTCTCTATTTCTCTCTGCCCGCGTCCCCTTTCATCTCCCGCGAGAGAAAGACACGCGATTTTCCCGCGAACTGCGACCGATAGCCGCTGCAATTTCGCTGCAACTAGAGAGGAGAAACGGAGAAGTAATAAGTGCGCGTGGAGATTTCTAAGGAATTCCATGGGAACGTGATATTAGTTATAATGGACGAAATGTTATATATAGAACATCGTACATGCTCGTATCTCGAAATTTCTGTCGGGGTAAATGGTACCGGTTGCACGCGGCAGAGTATGACTGGCGCGAAGTAATCGCGGAATTTAGTTTGTCGTAAAATCCAGCTGAGGATAAGTGCAGGCTGGAAGAATGGTAATAGTCGTAAATAAATAACTGCCCGATCGCTGTTACTTCGATGCAGAGTGGATGAGAAAAATGTGAGAAGAGTCGTATCCCTATTTTGACACCTTGACGAGAGGGTTGCGAGAGAATTTGTATAATAACACGTATTTCTTTCACTTTCTTTTTTATCCTTTTTAGAGCAGCGTCTTCAAAATTCAATTATAAAACCGTATACACGCTTTGATACCTTATTCTTTCTAATTTATTTTTTCTTTTCTAGGTACAACTCATTTAAAATAATGACTGATTTTAGACTAGACTTTGAAAAACGTGAATATATTTTAAAGTATTACCGCCATAATCTGTAATCCATACAAATATATACCGTTTTTATAATCATGCAAAGTGTGTATATATTCTTTTGGAACACCCTGTATTATAATAAATTGATTTTCTGTTAGCAAAATTGTTCCTTCGAGTATTTGAAGATATTGATTATGCTAACACTAGTTGTACCATTCTTTACGGTTTTATGATTTATGTTATACACGCAGAAATATTATAGATGCAAAAAATACTGATTAAATTGTATTCAAGATTTTGAAAATAGCTGTGTTTCATATTTGAAATATGTTAATATACGTATAATTAAATTAATTAAAATTGAGCAATTATCGATATAATTGAAAAATGATCAAACTTATTCGAGTATTATAATCTAGTTACTTTATCTACTTATCAAATAAATTGAGCGATAAATAAATTACGATATTTTAATGGATAATTATTAATTAATTAATTAATTTATGATTTAATAACCAAGTAATATAACGATCAGAAAAGTAACAGAAGTTCATTTGACAGTAATTTCACACAATCACATAAATTAAGTGCCACGGAAATAATATTTCAGAATTATTGAAATTGACGTATACGATAAATACTCCATTACAAAAACACAGGATGGCAAAAGAAAAAAGGAAAAGAGAAAGAAAGAAATTCTACACGAATGAACAGTTTAAACAATTTACCAGTGATAAATCTTTCGAGCGGCTTTAAATCGTTTAATCCCTTTTGAAATGATCGCCCCATGCTTTTTACACCCCATTTCATTCGCGTTTCTATTAACAGTAATTATCGCGATATTTGCACGCCATTTTTCACGGTTGAATAGAATTTGACGACAAACGTGTACGCCCCCCGTTCGCAAATCGAATTTGCAGAGTTGGCGAACGGAAATGAAACACAGTGGACAAAGCTAATGAATATTTACTCGACTCATCGTTCGGACGCGAATTAAAAATCGAAAGAAAAAGTGTTAAAGTGTTTTTCTCACGCGATAAAACGCATCGGTGATAAAATTATTCGTGAACCATGGTGTGCACGTTACCGTGAACGCAATATCGATTCCAACATCGCTATACACTCGTTCTAATCGGATCTATTAAAAGAAAAAGGAGAAAAAAAGAGTAAAAAAATCGCATTAACGTCAAAGTCAATTTACATACTGTTATACACACCGTTTGGTATTTGAATCTTTAAATTCGAAGAATCGGAGCGTTCTCTGCCTATTTCGTCACTGCAGGATCAAGCAGTTCGGGTTATATAATGGCTAGAGACTACGGGTCAAGCCATTAATTCGTTCTAATTAAACTAAACGAACCGAAGAAATGCAAAGAATCTGCCAGTACTGTACAATTACGTTTTAAATTAACCAACAGTCCATAGAGCTCTTTTTGTCGCGAGCGTATAAATTTCTCGCTCTGCGAGCCTCGCAGTCATTTGTTTTTATCCTTCCTGCGAGTTCAGATACTTGCTACTTGCCGATATAACACGCCATAACGAAATTAAGAGAGAATATTTCTGTTACACCATTGTTACAACCGAACGTCTCAATTGCGATGCAAAGATATTACGCGTGATATTTAAATTTCATACGTCAACGTGGAAAGTTTTTCTCGGGTTTTTTGGAAATTATTATTCAGCGAGAAAACGTGAAGTATTTTGTCATTAGAACGAAGATAACGAATTTTTATTTATTTCGTTAACATGGATCACCATTATACTGAATTTAATTGAAATAGAAAATTTTTTGAAATTTTAATGAAGTAGTTTAGCCGAGTAAAATTAAAATGAAAATTAAAATTTCCGTATGTTTTCGGTATAGTGTAGTACTGTCTTTTTTTAATTATTAAATTACCCAAATTGCAACAATACAAACTCCCACCACTGGTTTCCATATGCTTTTCCTTTTAGAATGGTAAGTTTAGAGTTTCTATAGATTTAATTTAAGAAAAACTCAACTTTTCTTTTTTCTTAAATTTTATATTCCTAACTAAATTTTATAATTCCTAAATTTTATATGCCTAAGTGTTAATAACATGCAAAAATGTGACAAAATAAATTATCATAAATAACAGTTCAATTCTTCAACAATAGTTGAAGGAAATCCAAATTTCAAATCTATTTGATACTAGGACTACCGATCTTTAATTTGTACCAAAACATAGCATGCGTAGGTAACAGTAATAATAGTGATACGATGAAAATAAATTAATATATTAATTCCAGTTCTATCGTAATACGAGTGAATACTAATTTTTTTAAAAACAGGTAAACATTTTTAGTAATTGTAAAAAGGAAAATTCCGAGATCAATTGCTACTTCTAGAATCAATGTCCACATATTATGTCTCCACATATGCAAAGTATAATAGCCAATGGTAATTATTTTGATTGCCAAAAATGAATGAAAATTAACAAAAACAAATATTTCGAGGGACGAAGAACCCTCGTGGTATGAAAATATAATACTTGGAATCTAAGCATCTACTGAATCATTTAAAGAAGATGAGAAATTTCTAAATAATCACTTTTACCGAAAAAAGGAAGAGCAAAGATTCAATCTCTTGCGCAGCCAATTCCACTAACTTCCTGTTTCCTATTTAAACAAAAACTCGCGACGCTAGCTAAGATTCCACGGAATAATAATATAGAATTAACAGTTTTACTGAAAAAAGATTGAAGTTCTATTTCAGAGCGCGTTGCACGCTAAGAAGCATGGAAAAAGTGAAGTCACTTTCAACAGCTAGCAAACGGCGGGCAAGAAACCAGTGTCAGGAAATTACAATAAGAACATCCTGGTATGATGTTTTGCCGTTTCGTTTTCCTTTTGTTATTCAAGCTACCATGTGCAGTAACTGTTTCTCGGAACCTGTAAAACAGTCACTTTTCCTATAACAGGTTAATGATCTAGATCGTTACAGAACCAGACTCTACATGCAAATAGCATACATACGTGATATATCAACGAAAATCCATGAACAGGTAAAGTAGACACTCGAATATTAACCCTTTGCACTCGAAAGGTGACTCTCACTCACCGTTTGTTTTAATGCTATAACTTAAATAATGAGCGATGATAATTATATTAAGAACACCGAAATAAAATTATTC